ATAAGATTTGGTTTTCATTTTCCAAATTTTGTGTAATGTGGATATATTATTATTATATATATATATTATGATACATATGTCAATAACATTAGTGATAATAAATAACATTTATATAGCACAAAACACACGAGGCACTATTTTAGGAGTTTTACATGAATCAACTCACATAATCCTCACTACAGCTCTTTACAAGGTATGTATAATTACCATCTCCATTCTGTATTTGAGAGAATGAGGCTCAGAGAGGTCACAAAGCTCACCTAAAATTAACAGCCAAGAAGTGAACAAGGCAATCTGGCTCAGTTCCTACATTCACTTCTCAAAAATATATGCTTGGGGCTGGGGATTTAGCTCAGTGGTTTCACCGCCTGCTGCGCAAGGGCAAGGACCTGAGTTCAACACCCGGTACCAAAAAAAAAAAAAAAAAAAAAAGTATGTATGTGTGTGTGTGTGTGTGTGTGTGTATATATATATATATATATATATATGCGCTTGAACACCAGATTCAAATTCAATAGAATTTTTCCCTTTTACATAAATTTAAAGCATCATTAATGGCTTCTACAGAACTGAAGAGTCTTATGTTATTTTAGGACACAGATTAAGAGGATACATAGTGTGGCACATCACAGTGGTATTTAACAGACGGTCACAAGCTATGCTTCCACGGCTTTTTATCAACAACTTGTGAGTCACCGTATACAGACTATCCCTTACCTGAAATGCTTGAGACCAGAAGTGCTTGAGATTTGAGTTGTTTTTTCTTTTTTTCAGATACTGGAGTATTTTCATAGATTTTACTGGGTGAGTATGGCTAATTTTGAAGTCTGAAATGGTCCAAAAATCTAAAGCATTTTGAATGTCCTGTTGGAGCTCAAAATGTTTTAGATTTTGTATTTTTGGATTAAGGGTGCTCATCCTTCTCCTTCTTTATTATCTTCCTCTTCCTTGCTATGACAGCTTTTTGTCCCATCTTCTCATTACCAAAAATAAATGTTCTGTCTGCAGGGCATATCATAATTATCTACTCTAAATCCAGGCCTTGAATTGACCTTTATTGTGCACATAAATCACCCAGGAGACTTGTTAAAATGCAGTTGCAACAGCCCACCCTTAGAGAGTACACTGTAGATAGCACGTTTTAAGAAACTGCTCTACTTTCATTACTCTGAATTTTGTAACATGAAATATTTATCCAGGGCATGAAAATAAAATATTTGCTATTTTCTAGGTTCTACCAGGACTGCCAGGCATTCCTTGCAACTTTTTGTATGTATTTCTTAGAAGTAAAGGCCGTTCCACATACCCAGAATCAATCTTACTTTAAAAAAACAGTTCAGAGTATACACAATGGGATGTGTAATATCTTATCTGCTCTTTAGTCTGATTTTCAAAATTATGATATTTGCAAGTGTAAATAAAAATCAAAAGGTATAAATAGATAATGTAAAATAGGAAGAAAAGGTCCAAAGGGGAAGGGGAAGTGGGAGGGGTTGGAGAAAGGAAAGAAGGGAAAGGAATAAATATGAGAAAAGGAAAAAATGGAAACAAAGTCTTTGTAAATAGGGACAGGTGGAGGGGTTGAAGGGAGGGCAGGGGAATAGGGAAAAAATAAGAACCAAGATATATTTTTTAAAGGAACAAACTTCCAATGATGAATATCATTATATTGTATACCTAAAATGTACCAATAAAATTTTTAAAAATTATGCTGTTTGCAATTTCTTATCAAAAAGGTGTTAATTACAGTCAGACCTGATTTCTTGTCCAGTAATGATACTGCTCGATATTCTGAATAATTTTTTCCATCAGTGACATAGGATATTGGAATATGCCACAGGTAGCTGTAAAAAAAAAAAATATTGTTAAGATTAGCTCTCTTTTTTTTTTTGTACTGGGGATCGAACTCGGGTCCTTGCACTTGCGCAGCAGGCGGCGAAACCACTGAGCTAAATCCCCGGCCCCTAGCTCTCTTTTTAATACCTCAGCATGAAAATGAAATTTTTAAAGCAATTCCCAGACAGGGATAATATTGTTAGATTTTGTAAGAACTTATGATTATAAAACATTTAAAAATCCTAAAGGAAAAAAAAGAGGTAGCATAGAATGAAAGAGTATATGTACTTTGCATCTGAAGGCTGGATTTCAGGTTTCATACTTAAGAAGAATCTCTCTTGTTTTATAGACAGTTCCATTCCTTTCCTGTGAACTGTCACTAAAGGAAATCCTTTCTGCAGGGTCCAGGTTTTCATCATTTTCTTTACATCTAGTGTTTTGTTTGTAACCTATAAAACAAGAATACATATTTTTGCTTAAAGATAAAAATTAGTTTAAAATTCTTACAGTTTAATTCATCTATACCTTTTCTTTTCCCTAGCTCATTTTATAAAGACTACATTGAAGGTTAATATTAAAAAGGCATTAATGCTGAGCTGAATTTACATTTCTAATCTAGACAAAGAGAGACACTTACTAAATGAAAAATAACCTGGAACAGAACTGAGTGATAACTAAAGATGTGAGAAACAGATTACATTGAAAAGCAGCACAAATGAGGTCAACCAAGAGTTCACTAAGATCAACATCCTTGAAGCTGGGCGTGGTGGCACACACCTGTAATCTCAGCACTTGAGAGCCTGAGGCAGGAGGATCACCACAAGTTCAAGGAAGCCTAGGCTACATAGTGAGTTCAAGGCCAGCTTGAAATACAGAGCAAGACTCTGTCTCAAAAAACCAAGAAAGATTAACATCCTTAAATTCTTTAAGATTAAAATCCCTAAGAAGGTACAAGCACTCTTTCAGGTCACAATACTACGATTTAGAAGATATGATTAAAATGCATCCTAGAATGGCATAGCTACTAATACTGTGAATCAGCTAAGTCTAGGTTTCTTTTTATTCTCCTACCCTCTGCCTTGTAAGTATTCATTTTTAAAGACTTAATTCTGTGGGAGTGCCAGAAAGAAGCAGCAGCACAAGAGTCAGTTCCTGAGTTTAAATTTCTTTAGAAAACACTGGTAAACTTTCTTGGTGGCTAAGATTTTCTTTTCTAGAGAATACATGAACTTATCCCCAAAGCTAGACTCTAGGTCAGAAGTTTATAGACCTTTAAAGCCCACTCTCACCAAGACATCTGGCATCAGTGATTATATATAGATGTGAAAAAAGTCATGTGCCTAAATTCAGAACATTACACCATTATGGCAGGCCTTATCACAGTCACCAGAGGCCCATTTATTTAAAGCACAAAAGAATGGAGCAATTTCCCAATTTATTGTGACATTAATCTTGTCTTTCTCCTATGTCTTACACATTTACTTCTAGACAAGAGGGTGGGAAGAAAAGCAAGGTACTTTTAGGTGTTTGAAGCAATACCGAAATGAAAAGGCCAGTGCATCATTTAATGTGAATGCTGAAAACACTGAGGACACTGTTAAGGATTGGGATAGTACATCATGATGCAAAAACTGAGTCAGTGAAGAAGGCACAAATATGTTCTAAATCTCCAGAGATAAGATAATGATAATGGGTATAAAGTAAATAACATGGCTTTCAATTGAAATGCTACCATATGATTAGAGGGAAAAAAATTGGAAGCCAACTGTTAGTTAATAAGAACTGACCCTTTTTCTCAAAGATACTCAGAGTAAGGAAGATACATCTTCTGGGCAAGAAGTCAATAACTATAAAATACTAAGATTCAGATTAGGCAAGGAAACAGGAAGTATATATGGGAAAGATTCAAAGCAAGGGTTCTTAATCCAGCATCCATAAAACTTTGAAAGTGTATTCAATGGTGTTCACATAATGTGGTTTTTCTGGGGAACAGAGCCAGACCATTCATCAGTTTTTCAACTACATCTGTGATCTTTCAGAACATGAAGAACCATCCATCTAGAGCACAGTAACAATCGCAAATGCTTGTCAGGATTATTCAACACACATGCATGAGGCAGGCTGGGTTCATGCACTACTTTGAAGCATAACTGCTACATAATGACACTGCTTGTTAGAGCATTTGTAGGCATAACAAAATGACCTAAGAGCAGTATGCAGCTGTTAGGGTTTGGGTCTAGATGTCCCCCCAAAGCCTCATGTGATCATAGCCTTGATCTAGAGTGTGTGAAGCTGGATTTGACTCATGATGCAATGCTAGGCTCAAGGGCACTAGGATTAAAGGTGTGAGTGCTACTGGCCCTAAGTAGTCTGAATGAGATAAAAGGGGCAGGGAGACACTGTTAACTCTCTTTTTACCTTTGCTGCCTTGTGTGTGCCATGTTGCTTCTGGTCTGCCATGCCTGTTTGTCATCCCTGCCTTGGAGCTGGCTGATTACGCACAGAAACCTCTATGAACTGTAAGCCAAATAAACCCCTTCCCCTTTAACTTTAGGTGTCGGGTATTTTGTCTCAGCAATGAGAGAAAAGTAACTAACACAGCAGCTCCTGCCAGTCAGCTTGTGAAACATCATCTACTGGAGAGTAATCTGGATTCAAAAGACAAGAGATTCATAGAGAACAACATAGAACCAAGAATAGAAGGTAGAAAAAATAGAAGATAAGAACGAGAAAAGTTTTTTGAAAAAAGATCAAATTTCAAAAATATAGCAATATCTATGAATATAGAGAAGATAACTTTCTTACAAGTTAGGAATGATCATTAAGATACAGAATAATAATAGTTCAAAAAAAGACAGTACACTCCCCTTTCTTGACTTTAAATTCAATATTCTATTCACAAATATTTATATACCAAGCTCCATCCAGCTATTTCTAAATAACTATCCTTAGTATCCTAGACTCTTTTACATGTGATAAAAATATAAACAGAAGACCTCTTTCGGTAAGAAGACAGGACTTAAGTAAACTATCCAGGTCACTTACCTCATTAAAGCTATCCCACAAATCATCACTCTGAATGGATGCATAGCTATGATTACGCAGGTAAAGAATAAGGGCGTGTTGAAATTCGTCTTCACTGAGGAAAGTTTTCAGCATTAACAAGAGAGAAGCTCCCTACTCAAAAAAAAAAAAAAAAAAAAAAGAGAAAGAGAGGAAAAAAGGAAGAAATTTTATAGGTTATAGTACTGAAATCTAAAATTCAAAATAATCATTCTAAGAGTACTTTTATATATACTTTGGTAATCTCACATAGCTCGACATCAACTCTTCAAATTATCTTAACATTATTTTAAGAGATTTGAAAAATTAATAGAATGAGATTCCTACATGTGCTATTTCTACCATGAGCCCTTGTATCTGATCAGTATACTGTTTCAAGTGTTAGTAGTGACATCCTCAGTATTTATAAATATATTTTAAATTAAAAATACTAAATTCTCTATGGCATTTTCAACCCATCCCCAATGCTTAAATATCAGTTGAATCCATGAGGATATACTGCCACAGACAAAATAAATTAGCAGAGCTCTCAAAAGTCTCTCTGCCAGGTGTATATTACTTTCTAAATTTAGTATACCACTATACTAACACTATACTGTTAACTTTGCTGAAGTTAACAGGATCTCTCTTCTTGAAGAGTTGAGTGCAATGTGTTTGAAACCAATGAATATATAAGGCAACAAGTATACACCAATAATACACAGCCAGGTATGCTACCATAAAGGACATGCTATATTGACTCACACAAGTCATCGTTCCCAACCTCAAAATGATCACGTCCTTTGTGAAGTCCTTATTTTTTATTTTATTGGTACAATTTAGATATACATAATGATCATGTTCATCATAGGGAATTTGTACCTGTACATGATGTATCGTGCCTCTTTCCCACCGCTCCTTTCCCCTCAACTCTTCTCCCCTCTTTATTTACAAAAGCTCTGCTTCCATCTTTTTCTTTTCTCATTTTTTTTCCTTTTTCCTTCCTTCCTTTCCCCCTTCCCCCCATCTAGTTTCCCCTTCCTTATGAACAATGTCTTATTTTGTCTACTGTACATGTTGAAGTTTTTCTTAACTTGAAACAGAAACCATATATCTCCATCTTCAGTAGAAATTTATATTATATTTCCTCTTCTAGACTATGCTAATTGAGAGAATGGAAAACTCAACTACACTAAAGCAGTGCCTACTGCAATGCCTAGTAATAAGCACTGACATAGTTTTTGAATGAATTTCACATGTGACAAAAATGTATCACTGTTAAGCCATCAAGATTATCAGTAGAAGTAAAAAAATACCTATTACCCTCATTTCTAAAATCCATAGTTACTAACTGTTCCATAAACTGAAGTACTCATTCTTGTTTCCCACTGCCCCCATCTCTCCAACATCACCAACTTTTTCCTCTGTGCTGTAACACTGCCATTAACAGAACGAAAACTAATTAACATTCATAATTTTCAACAAGGCAGGCTTTAATCTGGAAAAATTCTGCCTTCCTTACCTGTCTTACCCTGTCACTGTTTCTATGTCCTTACCACCATTCTGTGTTTTTATACCCATTGTTTTCTGTCTACCCTTACTGCCACCACTCCTTATTTGAAACTTTTACCATTACATGCTGAACTATATCATCAATTTTCTGACTGCAGGTCTCTGCCCACTTACATTCACTTTATAAACTGAAACTAATTAAATTTTTTCCTAAATAGTAACTTTAATCAAATCATTCCTCTGCCAGAAAAATCTTCTAAAGCTTCCCATTGCTTACAGACAAAACATCCAGATTCCTTATGGTACTCAGAACCTCTGACAACTGGGCTCACCTATCTTTTTCATGCTTCCCCTACTGCACATGCAGCTTGCACTGTAGTCAAATATGCATTCACTAAACAAATAGTCATCAGTATTCTTTTTTCTTTATAAAATTACTTATTAACTCATTTTAATTTCCATTTTTTTCCAAAGAATCCCTCAGCATGTCATGCAGAAATTCCCTGTACTCTAGCACATACTACTTCTCTTACTACTCAACTAATCATCACCTAAACTTTGAGCTCTATAATTACATGAATTGTATCTCACATGTTTTATGTATTATCTTCTCTATCTAGTAGAGAAATTTATTAATCAATTAATCTGACAACCAGAATAAGGAGGCAAATGAGCAATAACACTGATCTCTCCCCCACTGCAAATATGAATGATGATGTTTCTAATTTTCTTGTTTTTTTCATCCCCATCAGTGTTTCTGAGCCTTCACTTCAATCTTTGATTCTTAAAATCTCTTTTTGCTTACTTGTTTTGGCAAACTTTAGAACACACCTCAATTCTGAGTAAAACAGCTAAGGGTGAACCTTCCCTGCAACTTTAAGATTTGTAGAGTATACCAACTTTAAAAGATGCATTGCTTAAGATCTTGGTGACTGCGTGGAATACTAGTCATAGAACTTAGAAGGGAGATACAGAAAGAAAAGCAAAAAATTAAGTCCAAAATTTAAATAGATTTAAATGTTAAAATTTAAACATTTAAAAATTCAATAGGACAGCTGAAAATAATACTCACGTAATCTTTAAAATAATCTATATTATACAGCTTGCTCATATATAAAATTAATTTGACGCCTACTACAGGTTATTTTTTTGTCTACATCAAACAGTACCTTAAAATAGGAAAGAGAATCAAACATTTCTTCAATTTGTTCTGAAGACCGAACAGATGATAATATTGGATGAGATGAATTCAAAGCATCTTTCCTCATGGTTTTAAATCGAGCATCTAAGAAATCTTCATACTAGCAAAAAATTAAACATATTAGGATATGAACAGTATCAAAGATAAGAGTAACTGCAACAATTATTTATAGTAATTATACTAATTACTATTTAAAGTCATTCTGAAAAAAATAACCAGTTTCACTAAACTTCAGAATATAAATTTCTGAAAGTAGAGAAAGACCATAACCCTCACACATATTCCTTAAATTTAAAAAGTTATAACCTAGACACATGAAAATCGTCATTTTTCTACACAAGAACATAAAAAGGAATTAAGAATCTATTATTAAACAACTGGCAAATATGGACATTCAAGATGAACATTCTCAAAAGGTTAAAATATATTTTTAGATAAAATCTGAAATTTAAAAAAGAAAAAAACCTGGGTCTTAAGCTGATTTCTCATATATAGCCCATATTTTATTTTAACATAATGTACATTTCTCTTAATGAAGTTCATTTTAAATAAAACTTTTTAACAGAAAGCTAACTCTGAGATCTTGGTAGATGAGCTCCCCTACAATATATATTAGGGGTTTAAAAACATTCTGGGCACCACCAAGTGGTGAAATTGTATATCTCATTGCGTAATTAAGTAGTACACCCACTTTTCTGCTTAGAATTCTAGCTAAAATTTAATTTTTTCTATTATTTGAACCTTTAAAGAATCCATATATATAAAAGTTTCAAACTGAAACCTCCAAGAATAATTCTGTTCTAAAGCAGACTTGAATCATGTCTCCAGGAAGTTCAGTAGTTGAATTAGGGCTGAAAGGAACATTTACATTTTCCACTCACAGCTTGAATTATTTTGGTAAAAACCTGTCACAATGATCTGGTATAAGTGAATACTCCCAAGTATAGCAAATGTCTTCACAGAATCTAATAACACAGTGACAACACTATTATGTCTGTCTGTAACAGAATGGTATTCCAAGTGTTTGAAAAAGGACACAAAAGATGGTTTGTGGCAGGCTGTATCAACCTATATATCGCTGTTATAAGAATGCCCACAGAGATAAGAGATGTACTGCTACAAAATGTTTTAACTTTTTTCTCTATATATACACAGGATTAAAAAGTTTTGTTTTGCAAAAAGAGGCTTTTGAACCTTATTTAAATTGTTTCTGGCAGAATAGACCACATCTGTTAAAAATAAAACATAGAAGTGCAATTTAAGATAGTCATCTTAATGACAAAAATATGTAATCTTACATAATTTCACCTTTTAATGAAACCAATAAATGAAAGCATAATTTTCACTGTTAAATCTCAAAAGGATAGACATCAGCAACAAGGGTCAATTTTATAGCTTTCTAGAAATATTTTCATTACCCTAAATGCACAGAAAATACATGGCAAATGTGAGTTGATTATTTTTCCTCCTAGCTAGCAGGACAAGGAAATACTGTACTTACACTGGAAAGCTCTTTGAATATTTTTTCCAAAGCGAAATACTCCATGAATGTTGCAAAACCTTCATTTAGCCATAGATCATTCCACCACTGGATTGTTACCAGATTACCAAACCACTGCCATGAAAACAAACCAACATGATATAAATATTCTCAAGAATTTTCCAACAATTGGCTGAATTGTCAGGTTAACTTCCTATAACCAGATTAAAATATTTTAAAAGTATACTAGTATTATAATCCAAATAAAGAATAGTCAAATCAATTAAAGACTTATTAAAAATTATTTAAATCTAATAATAAAACAGAAATTTTCATTTTATCTTAATTGAATAAAAAAGCAAGAATGATTAATATATTTATTCATTAGCATATGTATTAATTTTTAAAACATGCTATATAAGGAAATAAAAGCACTTTTCAGCAACCTCATAAAAGGATTTCTTAGATAATGATTTTTTTTTTACTCTCTAGTATTGTTAGTAAAATTACTTCCCATTATATCTATAATTACAGCTGAAACTTTCTATGGAAGAGATTTTCTATGGAAGAAAAGGGGTCTGTACTTCATATTTCTCAGATTCCAAGCTAAAGACAGTTGTTTGTGTGACTCAAATCAGAATTCAAACAAAATTTTTAAAGAAAGTTAGCATATATATAAACAAATGAAAGCAAGATCTTCAAGAGTTTTCGCCTATGAGGCAGTAAAAAGAAAGAAAAAACTATAGGAGACTCTTCTAAAGAAAGTGTATGTGAAAATCCTTTAAATAAAACGTGGTCATAGAGCATGCAATTTAGTCACTGTGGCCTAGAGTTTATCTCAAATTAACAGCAAAAGACAGGGTAACTAGATACTAAAATAAAATACTTTTAGAATTACAATAGTATATTTTTCTAAGAAATTATCTGAAAACTTGATTCACAGAAAGATGATTTGTAAGTCCCAAAGAAGAAATAACAGACACAGAGGTCCCACAAGAGACAACTTATCTCTGTGGCCGATTCAGGACATTACAGATATGCTTCATACGCCAGCTTCCCAAGAAGTCTTCACCAGGGCTACAAAGTCACAAATAAATTGTGCTGGAGATAGAGAGTAAACTGACCACAGCACTTCTTCCTTTTCCTTCATATAATGCCACTCCATGACATCCCAAACCACATCCTCACACACATCTTGGGCCCAACTGAGACAAGAGGGGATGTTATGTCCCCATGCAATTTCCTTTCTTTTTCTGCATGTTATACAAATAATACCCTAACCTTTTACTCAGAATCCCTCTCTCACATTAATAGGTAATTGAGGAGTTGCAGCAGAAAATAAAAGAATAAATCCAGACTTGACAACTATGGTTCAAGAGTTGTCAGAAGAGACTGCAACTTACGGAAAAGGATTCTTTCTTACAAAGTTACACTGAGCAGCTGGCATTTGTCAGAAGGAAAGGAAATTTGTATTATGAGGGGGAAAAAGATCTTGAAGAAATATGACACTTCAGGCCCAGTGTTACTTATTAGCTGTGTGACGTTGAACAAATCATTTATTTAAGCCAAGCCTCAGTTTCTGCACCTGTGAAATGGGATTATTACCTACCTTAGAGCAGTTGTGAAGTGAAATAATGGATGTGAAAATGCTTTAACTGTAAAGTCCTGCACAGACAGCATTTTCATCTGGAAATTTAAATTTGTGTTAAAAAGGCATCTTTTTATTATTAAAGAAAGCAATACTAAAAGAAAAGTGGAATAATTCATAACATCTACATCTATTCTGAAATTCTAGGACACGAAGTAAACAGCAAGTATAAGATGTAACGGCACAGATTGCTAGTACCTGGTGGGCTAGCTCATGAGCAATGATTTTAGTAACCAGTTTTCTATCTGCCACTGAAGAAGTATTACTGTCATACAGAAGGGTCTCTTCACGGAAGGTGAGCAAGCCCCAATTTTCCATTGCTCCTGCTTCAAAGTCAGGAATAGCCACCAAATCTGTATGTAAGAGGAAAGAAGTGATCAACTTCATTTCATGTTAGGTGCTCCCTTGCTAAACCAAAATATTTCACCCATGAGTTTATAACTATGGAGGATGCGAATTCTTTCCATACCCTGTAACAAATGGAGTCATCCTTGCTATAGTTCTGATGTCTCAGCCATCAGACAGGAACACCTGATCATACCCCTTTGGGTCACTGTTCCATTGTCACTTGGCAAAGAAAAAAAGTGGCTAATTCCTTCCAATGAACCAGCTTCCTAGATGAGGAGGATAAAGTTTAGGGCCAATCCACACTGAACAGTGCTGAAATGCTCTTGCTTTCCTGAACTCCCATTATGCAGTTTTTATTTTTTGAATTAGGATTTTCTTGTCAAACTCCAGACTAAGGTCTCAGCAAACTCTCACTTACACAGTATCATTGTGACAGGCCCATAAACCTCTAAGTGTTTTAGGCTGCAAATTTAGATACATTCATGGAATGCAAGCAATCTTAACAATTTTTAAGACATTAACAATGTTTCTTATTTTTAAGTAACTTCCACAAAAGGTCTGTTCAAAAAAACATTTTCAAAACATCTCAGTAATAACTGCAATAAAAATCAGAGGCATCGTTTGATTCTTACCCAATTTTTTAAGTGGGTACTGAATTTCAAAGTAGTTTTGAAAAAACTCAAGAAGCTTCACTGTTGTTTCCAAGGCATGGTGAACTTGACCAATCTTTTCTGGTACAGCATATATAGAAATCTAAAAGGAATATTATGTAGGATGTGAGGACAGATGCAACTAAAATGCCGTAATTCAGGATCAGCATATCTGAGAAATGCACAGATTTCTATGAGATCTTTCAAGACAGAAACTATTACTTATAGTTATTTTAGTCTCCACAGAGTTTAGCAAGTACCTTCATGCATACACCACTCCAAAAAAACCTTTATTGATTCCTGTATTTTCAAGCTATCATAACTTTGCAAATAAACTAGTTTGGGCCATCTTATAGCGATTTGTAAACATTTACCCATTTAATTTTATTACATTCTTCCTGTTTCATTACCTGAGGTTGCCCATCCTTACTTATAAGCTATGAAGACCGTGAATTATTTGAAGGACAAAAAGTTTTATCCGTTCAGTACCTATCCCTAGTGCCTGGCATCTAAATACTGTGAAGTCATATCTTACAGTGGAGTTAGTTCTGAAGTTAACCTACGAGGCCTAAATTTCACATTTCTTGAAAATGTATTGCAGAAAACTGATTAGAGATCAACATACTCTCAGTAAGTATGGCTAACCAGATTTTCTTCCAGTGCTGAGAACACTTAGTGAGATATATAAGCCAAAATGCTAACACTGAGTGACACACAAAACTAAAACTAGCTAAAGAAACAACACATTCATATCTTCCACGGCCTATTCACTCCAGGGCATTCACTAAGGAAAGCAGAAAGAATCACCCACATTATTTAAATGACTATTCTTTCTTTTGTGGGATAAATATGTAAGAACTGAAATCTGACCCAAAAATGTAATTATCTCCATTTCTGGAATATAATATCTAGAAGAAAACAGTAGTTTGGTATTTTCCTTTTCTTTTTCTTAAAAGAACATGCTTTATGAGTTTTAATAGTGAGAAATCTTCATTAAAATTCTAAGAACAACAGAAGCAGTAAAAAGTAAAGAGCACAATCTATGTCAGCCAAGGAGGTCTTGAACAGCATTATGGGCTTGATGAGAACACTCTATAAACACTAGTAGTGGCCGAGGATGTATCTCAGTGGTAGAGCCCATGCTTACCAGGCCTAAGGCGAGGCTGGATTCCCAACCAAAATCCAAAAAGTAAACAACCAAAAAACAATGTTAAATGGAGTACAGCTGGGCTTAAGATTTACAATTTAGAACTTTTCTTGCCATCTCTTACAAGGACCTTATGGTTGATTCTAAAAACACAATTACTGTATAAAGATGCTGATCAGCTCTCTGAGACTGTGGAACAACAGATTTGTTAGGATTCAGTTATCTTTTCCTTACAGTAGTAAGAACAAAAACTAACAAAAGCAAAAACAGAACCACATCTCATTTTCTCCACACACAAAAAAGAAGAATATGGCTTATGAGATCAACAAAGAAAGAAAATATCAAAAGTTTCAACACTAAATTTTCTGAAAAACACTGGCCTTCCTAAACAGGCAACTGGACATGAAAAAGCATATGTTCCTAAAACAAACAAACAAACAGTGCTAAGTCTATCCAGAATATCTGATTAGATGGACTACAGAAGAATAATATAAATTGTAAAAGGTCCCAGGATGGTAAAAAGATACTTGAGGTACCTAACGCTCCCAGGGCAGAGGAGGTGTGCTGCATGGGTGCCAGCAGCAACGCCTCCCCGCCATGGAAATGAGAAGACACATAAACAAGCCTCAAAAACAGACTTCCAGATCACCTAAAACAACCCCAAAGGGAAACGAGATGGAACATTCTGATAATCAACCACCTAGACTCCCTGAACTGGCAACAAAAGAGGATCTGGAAAAAATGAAATCAGAAATAATTTCTCAGATAACAGCAGAGATTGTGCCCA